TCCTTTTAGTGAAACAACCATTTCCCGAACACTCTTGTGCAACAGAAGTCTTAAGCACCGGTTCCGGAAATCAGAGTTACTTGTAATTTCCTCAAGGCAGAGCACTTCGGCCGTAACCTCAGAAATTGATACCTCTTTTATTTTCTTTAGAACTGCTGTTCTATCCTTAGATGCAGTAGCTATTTCACTAAATGAATCTGCTATTTGTCTTGAGGTTGGAAGTTTTTGCTTTGTTTGCCTGCTAGACCCTTCACCTCTCTTCCTCTTCCCATGGCTTCCTGAACCACTAGGTGCAGTATTTGCTGTTAAGTTTACGCCTGCCATCTCATCTGTAACTCCTACACTAGCACCTCCAAGATCTTCTTCGCTATCCCCCGATCCTTCAAGGAGATTTGTATCAACTCTATACACATTCTCTTCATCATCATCTTGTGCCTGAGGTTGGGTTAAAGACGGTGCCAACATATCCTCTCCAGATGCTATCACACCCTTGAATATCGTGTTTAATTCATAAGCAAACTTTAACCCCTGGTATCTAAACTTTTCATATTGGGGATTCTCCTGCAAGAATACAATCAACAAAAATAAGAAGCCTATAACAAGTAATAACACAGTTTATAACTCAAGATCAACAATTATATACCAGTTTTTTCTTCTCCCACCACTCATTTGTTGCCACCACTGTATTGTTTACAGGGTCCCAACCTACACCAGTCTCTTTGGTTAAATCAACCCATGTCCTCCACTCCTTCCTCAAGCTATCGAGCCTATTTTTCAATTGCTTCTTCTCATATGATTTTCCTGTTTTTGCATTGAATGCAGAGTGAATGTTGTTCCACCCAGTCTTTGAAAATGATGTTCCTTGACGATTTTTCCGGTAGATTTGCTCCATGCATTCTTTAAGTAACACCTCTGTGGTGCTTGTATCCCATGTTGCCTTACTTTTTTCTTTGTTCATAGTTCTATTAAAAAATGTCAATCAAGAATACAAAAGGGAGTTACAGTGAACCAGAGCACTTTTCTTCCAACAATGCAGAAATATTATGTTTCTTTTGTAAATAAATATGAGAGGAAATATCTAATATATATAATATTTATAAATTATAATCTCACAATCATATATATTTAGGTTTGTAAAACATACTTATCAACAATAAGCATTATTGATGAATATATACGCCACTTTTTACAAACACCAATCTTCAGATTTTCAAACTAAAAAACGTATACTTTTCGGAGCTTGTGGCAAATAATTAACAGCAAAGGGGTAGTCAGTTTGCAAGAACCACAAATCATAAAATAGAAACATAGAACTACAAATAAATAGAAACACAGATCTTCAAATTTTCAAACTAAAATGTGCCTAGGTGTCTGACCTTGTCACAAATAATTAACAGGAAAGACAGACTAAACACAGCCAAAAAACCACATTAGTCGATACGTTCAAGTCAGTTCTTCCTACTACACTACTACCAAGTTCGACAGCCAGGCCACACTAATAGAAAGAACATCAGATTAATAGCAAGAATATCATATTAACACTCCTATAGCCAAGAACAATCGAAGACAACCAGATCTGGGACCAAAATCACGTATCTCTTACCAGGCGTACAAAGGAGACTCTGAGCAGTGTGGATCTAGAGCAGATGCGATCCGGCGGCGGTGAAAACGGACGGCGACGCTTGCAACCGAACAGAGGAAGAAGATGAACGGCGACAGTATTTGAAGGATCTGAACAAACGACCAAGGTCTAGCCACTCCCACACAACAACCACAACTGATGAGACGGTGGGACACGGCAGAGACACGGCAGGAGACGGCGACGCTGGAAGAACTGAACGAACAGAGGAAAGAACTGATGAGACATTGGAAGAACTGAACGACCGACCACACAAGAACCGAACTGTTGAGATGGCGGGAGACGGCGGGCGCACGGCGGGAGACAGTGGGAGACGGCGGGCGCACGACGAGTATATGGCAGCAGACGTCGGGAGGAGTTTTTTTTAGCTTCAGAGCGTCTTGTGGCTGAGTGCGTGTGTGCGTCTTTTTGTCTTTGAGCTGAAGTGAAGTGAGAGAAAATACATGCAAAGGGTCAGTTAGGTAAAAAAATTAACACACTCCAACGGTTTCATCACCCCAGCTGCGCATCCGAAAAAAAAGCTCCTTGTATGAGCTTCTCTCAGAAGCCCATTTAAGCCTCAAAAGTCAGATTGGGTAATCGGGGATCCAAACACTCAAAATCACAGCCACCCCAAAAGTCAGATTGGGACGCACGTTTGGGGGCCCAAACGTGATCCCAAACGGACCCTATGATGATAGTTTTTAATATAGGACTAGGGAATAAATTTTTTAAAATAAATTTGTTGACTTAGTTACTTGTAATAAATAAGAATTTTCTTTCTTAAATACTCTTGTTAATTATTTGTAATGATGGAAACTCTTAAACACATATGATCACCACGAAGATTACTCTTAAAAAAATTTATAAATTTAGAAAACAAAATAAATTAACATCTTAAGAATTAAAATAAATTTATTATTTATCTTTTATATTTAGAATAGGTCACAATATAAGATAATATTAAATATTCTCTAAGCACCTATAAAACTAAATAATAAATCTAAGTATAAAATAATTATAAGTGATTTTTTTTATATAAAGCTACAAGATGTCATTATATTTATTCCATTTACTAAATTTAAATGCAATTTTTTTATATATTTATGGCAAACCAAATCTTTCAGAACATTTATTTATAATTTTCATAATAAATATAAATTTATGAGCAATTATTATCATGACATTTATGCCAAACCTAAGTATTGTCGTCAACGAAACTAGCTTGAATCGTCATTCGATGCGCATTTGGGGGATTTGTATGGTGGATGTTTCTTTCAAATTATTTAGAGGAAAAAATATAGAACTTTTAACTTTTAGACTTTTTTTAATTATCCATTTAATCTTTAAATTTTAAATCAGAGAAAATTAATTTTGATAAATTGTTTAGTTAAAAAAAGTAATAAGAACCGAGTTGTTGAGATAAAAAAAATCTATAATAATTAACTTGTTTTGAGTTGAAAAATCATAAGAATTGATTTGGTTCGAAAAGTTCGGGAATTTAATCACTGATTGAAGACAAGTTCAAAGACAAAAAATTGTTTTTTTTATTTGAATAGAAATTATATTATTTATATTTAATTTGATTATTATGTTTAAGTATGATTATTTGATATCATATACTGTTAATCTAAATTTGAGAACTATAGCGTAAATTAGTAAATTATAATATTGATACTATGTTAGATAAGATTTAATTTTCTGATAAAAGAAAAAAGTGATTAATAATAGAAATAAGAAATATGACAAAGACGCTGACTCCATAAAAAGAAAAGGAGGAGAAATTTTGTTTCTTGTGAAAGATATCATGCCATAAAGTTCCTAAAGGAGATGAGCTAATTTGCTTAGGTCATGCTTGTCATTATAATTAAAATTATTTATAAGTATATTTTATATAAATGAAAATAAAACTTTTATTACATATTTATCTTGTATTTTATAAATTATAATTAAAAAATAATTTATAAGCTATCCATAAATGATTAAACAAACAAAATCTTGTTGACAGATATTAGCCTGACATATCGAGCTTTGTGCTGCACGAACATTATGAACAATGAACACAGGAAGACTGATGATTGTGTAGCAGATATTGGCAACCCCCAGTCTCAGGAGCACTTAATTTAAAAGAGTAATCTTATGATGTATGAAGAAAGTACGTTAAAAAAAAAAATCTGCTTTTACTTGCATAAACGTGTTTTTTTTTTTTCAAGTGATTTTTCAAATACCTCCTTAAGTAAGATGATAGTATCATGAACTAAATCATTATGCTCATAGTCATTCTTATCAAGCTGAGTAAGAGTGAGCTTGGGCTAAAAAGTAGAGTTGAAATTAGGCATCCTTATAGAGATGCAGCCAAACCATAGTGTCTTCATGTAACGACAAGAGATGAATAGATGTTGTTTTTTGGGTGGGGGGGGTTGCATAAGCCCCTCTCTCTAACCAATTATACTAATATCAAATAATCACTTATATGAAATAAAAATATAAGAAAAATTTTATCTCATAAACCGTAAAAGTGATTATGTGCAGTAAAGCTAAACTGGCATAATTATAATTATTGGTGTTATATATTCCTTCTGATCCTATATATAAATTTTATTTTTAGAAAAGAGCCGGGTCCAAAATATATGTTTTATTTTTAAATTTATTTAAGCATTTATTATTATTATTTTCTTATCTAGTCTTTAGTTGACTGTATTTAGTACTCCTCTTTCATATTAATATTATCCCAATATCTTGTCTTTATTATTTTTAACTAATTTTAATTATTAATTTATTAAACGTGGTTCGGTTATTTAAAATTTTTACAAAAGAAAGAGTATTTGAGATTCATAGGCGTGTTTTGGCTTTTTCCTTTGATACCAAACAAATTTTTAAAACTGAGGTTCGTACCATTTCTTATTGATTTTCATATCCAGAGAGTTCCTTTAAAATTTTTCTAACACAACAACAGAACAAAGAGGTCCCCACCTAAGAGGAGGACCACTATGAAGGTGACCACATATACGACAAATGTTGTTTATTCATCTAGGATCTATTCTAATCTTCGGGACCATTTTGTCTCCAACTCACTTTTTTCCTTGGGCAACAAGAATCCATTTAAATTCAGTTTAACTAAATAATTAATTTTGATAAGATTGAATTGTATTATTGACATAATTATTCATGCTAATCCCCTTGTTTATTATGTATTCACTTTGAGTTTATTTTCATTTTAACTATAAAATTTCAATTTATTTTTCTATCATATTTATAATTTTTTCCCCAAACTTACTCTTGATTACATATGTTAAAATTTTTTTTATTAAAGCAATAGTTTGCAATACCAATTATTAAAAGAAACTAAAACATTTTTTTTATAAATAACTAATTTAATTAATTTTTTAATCTTTATAAATTAATTATTTAACTTTATATTGAAAATCGAATAGAGTATTTAAGTTAGATATTCAATTCAAATCAATCAAATTAACTAATAAAACCCTATGTCGGCTCACTGCCTTTGATGTTACCCGTAGAGGCAGAAGATCATGTGCGCGTCTTTATATACAAGAGTGGCCGTGTCTATGTGTAATTACACATGATATGACAAAAACAATTAAAAATTAAATCATGTATGATTTTTATATTAAAAAGATATTTTATTAAAATATAACAATACGTCTCGTGACTCAACTATTTAAAAAAAAAACTAAAAGTAATTATGTGTTTACGCATGAGGTTATTTTTTAATAAATGATAATATTTCCATCAAGTTCTTTATATTGTAGCTGGTAGAAGAAAAAGTTTTGCATATATATATATATATATATCAAGTTCTCCAACTATATATGGTTATATATTGTATTTTTAAAATATTATTATTTAATCATAAATTCACATATAAAAAACATGATATATGATCATATGTAATTGAAAAATTAACAAAATAAATATAAAAAATTTGATTTAAATATTTTTTAATAAAATATTAAGAAGCAGGTGCATGATTATAAAGTTCACTAGGCCCAAAAAAATCAACTTGCCCATTTGGTCCACAATTTAAATGGTTCTAAAAGTTTGATTTAAAATATAAGTTATTTAGAGAATATTTAATACTTGTTTATTAATTTTATCATTGTAATTAATATTTAAATATAACTCTTTATATTTTTCATTTTCCTTCATAATTTTATTTAATATAGGTAAAATTGAAAAAAAAATTCAACTTGAAATAAATCTAATAAGTTAGTTATATTCTTTTTAATATTGTTGGATTAGTTAAAATGATTTATAATGCGAATTAGAAGGAGTAAAATAAATAAAAATAAACTAAAATAGCAGTAATACACAAAGTCCAATGGAATCTTAGATCAGTATGTCATTAATGAGTTTTGTTAGTTTTGCTTTATTATTCCAAGAAGTCGTTGTCGTTTTGGGCTGACGGTTCACCGGAAAGAGCACAAAAAGATCCGGTGAGATTGAGACCTCATCTAGAAGCCCGTGACTAAAAGGCTAGGTTGACGTGGCACAATACCTCTCCAACGTTTTGTTGCACAGGGTCAATTCTTTTAATTTTAAAAAAGTATATTTTTAGGCCCCATAAACGTTAAAAAAAAATTTTGATATGAAGATATTAAATGTTACTATCTCCTGTACTAATTAAAAGAACTAATTGATTAATTTGAGAAAATTAAAAATTTTTTTTATTTATTTGTCATAAATATGTGTTGTTTTTCCGAAAATGTCTTTATTAATCAAATGTATTGGCTAAAACTACTATTATTAGAAGGATTATCTTGGAAAAAAATATACAAATATTAGAAACAAAATGAATTGGAGTTTTATATTTAGAACTAAAATAAAAATTAAATAAGATTTTATATTAAGTACCGGAAGTAATATTAAAATATTCTTAAATGTTATCAACAAAAAGTTGATCTAACATTATAAGACCCATTAAATCTCTTTAGGTTTTAATTTTGAATCTTAGAAGAGACACCTTTGCAGCAAAGGAGAAGCCAGGAACATCTGGATTAGTCGGATGGTAATATTAAAATTTTTTTAAAATATTAGTATATTAAATTTAATTTTTTAAACAACTATGATTGTTATAAAAAAATAATATTTAAGATTAATAATTTTAGGGTAATAAACTAAAAATATATTTTTTAAAGTTAATGGATTAAATTAAAACTTTGTATAAAGATAAATGATCAAATATACACTTTTGCCAAAAAATTTTAATAAATCATATTAATTATGAGAAACGAATTATGATTTAGAAAAAATTAATTCTTCATTCTTTATCATTTTACTGGACTTTTAATGAGGTTTTTTCTATGGTTTCCTTAATTATCTCTGTTCCCGTACTACATCAATTAGAACTGACGTAATTGCTGACTAAAGGTTATGTAAATTACCATAAAATACAAAATAACAAGATAATGCAAAACAAAATTTATTTATTATCAACATAAAATAAAACATATTATGCCTATAATTCATTGAAATAAAATTTGTGCCCATAATTTATTTATTATCAAAATGAAAAAAATGATATGTATTTTAATTTTATTTGGATCTAAATGTTTCTTTTACAAATTAACTAACTATGAAATATAAGAACCAACACTTATCATCGATGGACCTAACTAAAGAGGGGGGAAAAAAGCTATCAGGAGTTAATTGAAAGTGAAAACCAGGTGAAATTGTACCAAAGAAAAAAAAAAGGAGGTGAAATTATAGATACTTGCATATTAATTTTTCCATAATTTATTTCTCAGACTCCATAATACAAGATCCACATCAGTTTATGTAATTATATATGAAGTGCAAATAACTGTATGAGATCTAAACAAACTTGCTCTATTTATTAACTTATATAAATAATGTAACATATTATCTACACACAAGTATATATTAATATATGTTATATTTATGGAAATAGATGCATTGTGTGGTGAGTCATTTTCTAACATTCGGAAAAATGATAATCATTTTATGTGTGCACGCAAGAAATTGGCCACAAATTTGACTGACCAATGAAAATCACTTGATTGATTCTTGATATTTGTTTTTGGTTTTGTTTTATTATTAGTTTAAAAAATAATATCACATATTTTTTTTAAAAAAAAGTTCTGGAAGAAACGTATTATTTAGTCTCATACATGCATGCTTGAATTTGGAAGTGACAACCCACAAAATCAGAAAATAATTTTGTTCAGTGATTTTTTTTTTGGAAATAATTCTTTTGTGACACAATGTTGTTAACCATAATTGACAAAAAAAAAAAAAGACTATCAACATTTAGAGTCCGCTCCAAAAATTTATCGAGTCAGTCAATCAATCAATTATGATTTTACTGTAGTTAAATTTGAAAACTAATTGAATAAAAACCAGTTTTTAAACCAATAAAAATATGAAAGTGGTAAAAATTAAATTATTGTATTATAAATTGGTTATGTGTTAGTTTTTTTACGAAGAAGTGATAACAATTATTTGTCAAATATTTTTAATTCATTTTAAATATTGATATGTGCGTATATAGATCCTCTTGATCAAGCTTGATCTCAAATATCAAAAGTTAGAGGGAAAAAAAGAGATTTTGTGATCTAATGATGTGAAAACTGTCATACAAGTTAAAAATCATGAGTTATTAGTACTAAGTTTTATAAATAAAAAAGGAATAATTATTTTTTCTGGGTATTCATAGATATTAGGGCCAATAGGAAATGCTTGAGCGGAAATAACATAACATTCTACTACTCACTTCTCAAAATGCAACATGACATCTTAATTTTTTTCAAATATAAATGAATTGTTTTCTTCCATCTTAAAAAAAATGAAGAAAAAAAATAAAATATGAGTGTGAAAATGAAACTAGCTTCTAGTTAAGAGGAATATAGACCAAGTGTGAAATGTCAAATAGGTCAACAAATAAACGTATGAATATGATGATATGAATACTTGCTGAAACTTGCGACTTGGTGGGTCCAATGATGGCAAAGTGGCATACAGTTCAAACATGTGATTGGATGGTTCTTTGAAAGTTATCAAGTAAAACGCAAGAAGTGAGATAGAAATCAATGAATTGATGACACAATGATTGTGGACTTGGTGCGTGGTGGATCCAAGCTAGGAACTTAATCAAGTAGGGCATTGATTTTGTTTTCATTTTCCAGATATCATTTTACTAGATGTAACCTAGTTTGAGGAACTATTAGATACTAAGCAGGGGTATCTGTCCTAGCAAGAATTCAAACATTAATTCAGCACATTGTGAGAGATTTATCCCTTTCGTTGGGCTTGATTCTTGTTGGTAATCTTTTTTTTTTGACTAGAAAAGTGAACACAGTTGATACATTGTTGAACACTAAATGTAGATACTTTTTCTTATAAAAATTCAAACATTGATTTATTACGTTGTGAAATATTAATCCCTTTTACTACACTCTAACCGGTGGTAACTTTGTTTTTGAATTTGATACAAAGGAGTGTTATTGCATAATGCATATTTCTTTAACCTGGCTCATTGGGTTTGGGCTACAGCGAATTTTTCTTTTCGGCTGGGGTGGGTTTTGGATAGGGCAAGTTAAAAAATACATGCTGCAGTGGTGTGTGCCTAGTATATAATTTTTTGTTGCTCACGTTTGCTTCAATTATCCATTTGATATGTGAAGCTTAAGCTTTATTAATCAAGACCATATACAGTTAGTCATTATGATGTTATTTTTCCTTCAAACATAAGAATTACGTGCGTCTGATTATGAAACTTTAGGGACTTGATAAATATTAACTTTTAGGGGCTAAATCTATAATTAAGACAAAGTCAGCGGACAAAAAGTTTCATTATCCTAAAAATATGCGTGCATGCTAGTCTTTCACACACACACACACACACACATATATATATATATATATATATTTTTGAGGAGGCCGTGTGAAATTTTGTTGTGTATAAATATTATTTGCACATGTTTCTCTAGTTCACAACTATAAAACAACTTTCATATTATAAAAGAATATGAGTTCAAATCCTGCTACCCAATTTGGATAAAGGATCAAAAGGAGATGACTATCCATTAAATGTTTTTATAGCTGGCTTACAAAGAATGTTTAATTTAGTAAGTATTTGGATTAACTTATTTTAAATGATTTTAGATTGTACAAAATAAATATATAAGAGAAATTTTATCTCATAAAGTGCAAAATAATTTAATTTAACTAACAAGATTGGTAACTAAGTGGATTATGCTTAAACCATAAATGGGCTTCCCAGTCTAATTTAATTCATCAAGGGCTGACTTCTCATTTGAAGAAAGGTGCAGATCTAGCTCCAACATTGTTCAGTTTTATCATTATCATTTGGGCAAAATCATTTCACAGACAATTTTTCCAATATCCTTTGACAATTTTTTTTAAAAAAAATAAACACGGCTATTATTATTATTATTATTTGGTATCAGTTAACTAGAACTAAAACATGCCTTTTTGACAATAATGCCCGACAGTTTTTAATTGTTTGTAATGACTTTTTAATAATTAAGTTATACTATGCAAACAGTTCTTAATATTCCATTACCAACTTAAAAATAAAAAGAAAAAATTATCCTCGTAATACAATTTAATACCAGTCTAGGACGACAAAACTCAAAATTTTCACATCATGAAAACTTCCCTTTAGAACCCATTAGTATAAAGAAATATTCCTAATTTCCAACTGATCTACATCTAACATTTTCTGCTACAATGAACCTCCTAGATATCAGATATCAATTTGACCTAAATATCTGCATCTAACTTTTCAAGCATGAAGAAGACATGCACACCATGAGATGAAGATCCATGCCAGGGTTGCCTCAATGAAAGTAATACCATCATTATCCAATAGCAAGGAAATACCAAAAAAGCTAAAAAAGGAGAGAGAGAACAAATCTTTCAGAATCTGCCAGATTCTGGTTCTGGGTATGCCAGAGATTTGAAGTCTCAGGATTTTGTATTCATTCTTTGGAGTCGTATTGGAACAGGCTTCACCAAGACAGAGACACTAATGTTACTCCAAACCTCTGGCTTCGTAGGAAGTTGAGATATTTTCTCCAAAATTGCCATGTCTTCAGACAGAACAGAACCAAACACAGTATATTGCTTCTTCCACTCATTGTGATTAGCTAGGCTGATGAAGAATTCGGGACCAGAATCAACCCATGCAACAGATCCCCTTTTTATTGGAGGACAGAATTCTTTGGGAATGTCTCTGAATACAGACCCTTGAGCTTCAAATGTTCCTTGAATTAGTGCAAAAGGAGGACCAAATAAAGCCTACACAAGCAATTAAATCCATAAGCATATCATGTGAAGGTCAAATAATCTGTAGCTCAGAGCTAAGCTGCATAATTATTAGGGAGAAATGCAAACACTTCTTTTGATTTGCAAACAATCCTTCCAACTTCGTAAACCTGAAAATACTTTACTCATCAATATTCCAGATTTAAGCACTTCGTTCATTTAGTCATTTCCCTGCTAACTCTGCTACCATCAAAGTGACCTTAAACACTGCCATTTGTTACATGGCAGACTCCTAGAATGTCTGGAAACAACTGAAAAACTCTGGTTGGCACCTCAAGTAACAGGGTCACTGGGAAACTATGCAGAAGGGTATAAATTTTGATAGTTGACAAATGAAGAGATATCTTCTGTTTTCCAAATTTGATTAGTGTTTATTAAAAGCTCTAAATTGAAGGAGAATATCTGCAGTTTGTCGCGGTGGAATGAAAGAGCAAGACAGTAAGCAATTTATCAAGGAACAGCCATAATATTTCTCCGTACTATAAAACAAAGGTAATGATAATTTCAGCTTATGGGCAATGTGATGAAGATGAAGCAGATGAAGATATGCAAGAAACCACTAATAAGAAGAGGAGGTCTTTGGCCTTTGTTTTTAATCTTTTAGCAAAGAAGCAGGAAGTCGAGCTACAAAATGTAGACGCTGATCATAAGAAGCTTGTACAACAGAGAGGAAAAATATAAAATATGCTTCCAGGAGAAATTAAAATATTTGAAGTCATTCGTCCATAGGACGATAGGATTAAGGCTTGATTACTGAGTAACATGAATACATCAATGAATGAAACAATTATTATAATAATAAGACATCTCACCTAGTAGGGCTTTAGTGTGAAGTCTCTAAATAGACTTTAAAGAAGATAACACAAATGAAAGAGAGAAAAAGTTGATTGATTGATAAAGGATTTTCTAGGTAGGACCTACTCTAATTTCTAAATAATTTTTCACACTAAAAGGGTTTGATTTTATTATAGCACCACCCTTCTTTCAATGGTCATAAAGAAAACGAGAGGATGGTATTTGGTATCCAGCAAGAGAAGTACAAACATTAGGTACTATGGGGGAAGAGGGAGAGGGAGGGAGATTTTCAGCCATGATTACCCATCAAACGATCAATTTTACAAAGAGATTGAACAGAAAGAATTAATAAAAAGCAAAGGCAGGAGACTTAGATGGAAGGAATAAAACAAGGGAGGAATTTTGTACTAAGAAGCACCGATATGAGTACTTGTATTGGATATGATAGAGCATGATATGACATTACAGTAATTTTCAAAATTTTAAGATATGAGTGTGGGGATATATGGTATCTTGAGTTTTAAACAATAATATAAAGATATTTGTAATAATCAACCAAAATATTATTTTCTTTTGTTTTTAAGTCATGTATGAATATCTTGATATAAAAATGCCAATACAAATGGCAGAATATGTGATATGAATCATGACGTACAATATGCATATTGTATTAGATACCTATCAGTATCAGGTACGGTTTGTTTACCTTTTTTTGTAAGTATTAGTCCTTCATAGATTTCGTATAATCATTAGTCATTAGTATAACACAAATTGATCCTTACATGTTTCTGGTGGTTTCCATCTGAGTGCCAAAATCTTCCTCGGCTTTCCGCACGATAAAAGTGGCATCCGGCACAATGTTTCAATGCCAACAGCTCAAGAAAGGAGGCAACGGACAGTGGAGAGCAATCAGGCAAAAGCTGCATACCGTGAAAGGATAAATTTAAAGACAACACACGTCATTCCAATTGTAAGGAAATAAAGGGAAAATTACGATAGAGTTGTCTTTACTTACCAGACACATAAAAGTGAAATTAGCAAGATACATGAAAGAGGAAAATCACTTTCTGCTGTCCAGGGCGTTGACCCCAAGTTTTCTTCTGTTTCAGGGAAAGATACAGAGCACATTGTATTACTTTAGGGTGGCTATGGGCTTAACCAAGGAAAGGCTTGTACTAGGGACTGTAAGGATCACTTTTTGGACTGTTAGTCGTTGGTTTCTCGGGAGAAGGCAGGACTTGTTTTGTCTTCAAAGTGTAGTGAGGAGAGGACTGGCCTCTCGAAAGCCAGGTTGGGGGTGGAGAGGACTGATCTTTCTACATTTTATCTTTCTGTATTGTACCTTCTGTGTAGATTCTGGGTTTTCTTGTATTGTAACTCTCTTTCACTTAACCGAGGGAAAGGAGTATTTTATGTAATATAAATCAATGTCAGTTTTCTACTATTCTGCTTTGGGCTCTATCAAACTACTTCTAAATTCTGCCTGAATTCACAAAGAAAATCAATGGAAACTGCTTGGAATTTAAAAGAACTTGAATATCAAAATGTTCCCCCTAACTGGTAGCAAGGATACAAATTTTGGCTTCTTCCTTTCATTACATCTCAAAGAACTATTGGAACCTTGGATTAACAGGAAACAGTATATCAGTAGACATTTACGTCATTAGTACACTGATCATGCATGACATTACACTGTATGTCACAGTGAAAGTCAAATACAATTTAATACTTAGACAATGTAAGGAGCATAAGTTCTTGAGAGAACCATACCCCAAGAGCTAGTCATTGGAATTGGAGAGCCCAAGACCTTATAAAGCCCTTCTTTTAAGGTAACTCTCCCAATGTAAAACTCATGACAATGCACTCCCTTAAGAGCTGACATCCCAGAGGTTCTACACTAAGGCACTTCACTTGGTGCTTGACTTAACCACCTGTCGGTTAGTCCCTTTAGTCAGAACATCCTATGGGTAGCCCTCTCTAGTTGGTCATCTCTCAATGAAAGCACTAATGTAATAAGTACAAGTCCTTGGGAGAACCCCATTCCAAATGCTAACTATTGGAGTTGGATAGCTGAAGGCTTTAAAAGGCCCTTCTTTCAAGGTAACCCTCCCAAAGTAGGACTCATGACAATGGGCTATCGAAGGCTTGGAAATTCTTATGTTCATGATTGTTTATGAAGCTCATGGGCAGCCAAATCTACTTTTGACTATGCACTCTTCAAGCAAGAAAAAGAAGCTAAACTATTCAGGGAAGAAACCATCAATGTTTAACTCTAATTTTCACCTTGAGGACAAGGTGAGGCTCTTAGAGGAAGGTAATTATAGAATTGCTTTTACTGGCCAGACCTATCAAAGGAAAATTAGCAAGATTCATGAAAGAGGAAAATCACTTTCTGCTGTCCAGGGCGTTGACTTCAAGTTTCCTTCTGCTTTGTGAAAAATACTGAGCATTAGAGTACCTTAGGCATGCCATGGGTCTGACCTCTAGAAAGCTTTGTATTGAAGATTGTGTGATATAATTTTTCGGCTAATATCTGTGGGTGTATCCTGGGAGGGGGAACTTGTTTTTGTATTCCGAGTGAACTGAGGAGAGCATTGGCCTCTCGAAGCCTAGGTTGGTGGTAGAGGAAGATCATCTTTCTTCACCATTTTTAGTTTCAGTTTGAGTGTTTTCTTTTGTTCCTACTGTTATAACTTCTTTCAATTCTTGGAGGAAGAATAGTGTGATTTAATCCAGATTCAGTATTGTTTCTTTTCTGTCTGGGCTCTATCAGACAAGCACAAATCCATATGTTTCTAGGGCAAATGTAGAAGAGAAGTTTACAACTCATTAAGAGAAATTCAGTATTTAGGAGAGTCTTGTAGGAGGACAAAATAATTACTTGTAGTGCATCAAAATTAAAGGGTACAAGTAACTGTCTGAGTCATATCAATATAAAGGTTTAGTACTCCATATTATATACGCAATATGATATTTTGTTTAGCCCTTTTTAATAGTTAAAATTAACTTCATCATTCATTTTAAATATGGGAGTGCCTGTGTATAGAAAAATGAAATTGGCATGATAGAATGTATGAGTCCATATTTCATATTTTAATAGAATTTATGTACTTTTGAAGCAAGTCTAGGAATATGCTTACATTAGATCAACTTAAGGAATAGCATACAGATATATATACATACATAGATATATATTAAAGTAGATGGTCATACAAAGCATACAGGGTAAAAAATATATAGGGCAAAAGTATGTAATGAATATACTTATATATATAAAATATTCGCATGGAAGGACTTACTCTTATACGAATATTTCCATATTGAGTTTCCAGACCAACAATCCCCTATCAGCAGAAAGATTTAACAGAAACATAAATAAATAGCCAATATGCATACAAATAAAAGCTTAACATTCATATACTGTTGTCATTATCCTACACATGAATGGCAAACAAAAGCATGTTGAAAATAGATTCTGAACATGTTATGTTGAAATTTCTAGACAGAGAGATAATATCCATGGCTGTCCAAATTTTATCCATTGAGATATAAAAAATGTTCAATGATTCATATGGTCCCTAAAGTTTTATCAAAACTTCTAAATAGATTCCTATAGCTTTAAAAGTTTGCAATTGAATCCATATGTCAATAAAACAAATTTAGTTGAGACCCTGTTGTTTCTGAGACATGATACCATCATGAAGAAACTGTGACAGAGCAAAGGGATGTATTTTTGGCTGAATGCTGTAAGTCGAATATGATATTATTCAGAATTAGTGAGAAACATTGCGACTATAAGCTAGTCTTCTAAAGTTTTAATTGTCACAGAGATAGCATCTCATATTTTATTATTGCTAGAAAATTCCAGAATCTACCAATACGTGAGATTTCTTACATCAGAATGACATCATAAGACAAATGTGATATCTGATTAACAATAAAATAGAAGCATATGAGATCAAAATAAAGGTATGAAATCAATGAATTTATAGAATTATCATCAAACTTGCCATAATTGTTCATATCTCAAAGTAGTATTATACAGTATATATTCAAGAAGAAAACTAGTAGATGTAGTGTTACATTCCTACCTCTCTGTTTCCAAAGACAAGCCCAGAAGTCCACATAACTAGATCACCTGAGTCTCGTCGTTCAGGACTTAAAACATCCTTCTGTCTTTTTAACCAACACTGCAACCAAAACAGAAGTGAAGTTCAGCCTAAAAGCAGGGATATTCTGATATTACATAAACATCAAACGACATCCATTATAAGTGCATATATTTACAAGAACTGTAATATTATCCCCAGCAAAGATACAAAGTGAAGATATAGAATTTTTAACAAAAAGTCAATATGCCATCCTACTAAAGAAAATAAGCATTACCACATTTAGCGTCTTTCAGATTTTTGGGATCATTGATTCATGATAGTGAGTAATTCTACAAGTGCATTATGTGGGAAAGATTGCATAAAAGGCACAATCTAGGTCTATGATCAGATTTGAAAAGTGTATGAAATTGCTCTGATCATATTATGAAATGCCAAGCTTTTGGTACTAAGTTAAATAGAAAATTGAAATAAAAATACAATTGATAATAGTGAGGCAATCTGTTAATTCAGTTCGGCAAGACATGGAGAAGTTGCAAGAGGAAAATAAAATTTTCTAACAGAATGTCCATGACAAAATTGGCATCAGCAATGGTTGAGAAAGACCTCTGCCTCACATGAAACGCAGAAATATAGCATGCTGCAGAAGTTAACCCAATTAAAGGTAACATTAGGCAAAGGAAAAATCACAAGTAGCTAGTGAAAACGCAAAAGTGCCATCAATTAATCAAAGAATAAACTTCCTATTGTCATAGGAACAAGAAGCAGATAAGCCCATGAAATTATAGTAGCACCAGTATGAGCAACAGATTCAAATTAGCATAAAACCCAGAACTTCCCATAATTTTCCCGCCATGATCAAATGTAGTAGAAAAACGAACAAAAATAGGAGCAATACCTCGCCAAATCTATGTCCACAGGCTTCTCTATCTCCACAAAATACCCAAGAATTACATATACAAGGCCCATCATCACCCCTACACATAGCTTTACAAGCATTGCAACAATCCCCCGAAGAATTAAACCTCAATTCTGTACCCCATTTAACAGCATCACCCCAGAGCTCCAAATGCTCAATTCCCCCACAACATTCCTCTTCTTTACTCCCCAAATCCTCTTCAACCCATTCTTGCTCTGAAGAATTTATTGTACTACTGGGTTTGAAGACCACGATAATGAAAAGGTATACCATTAAACAGGATATTGCGCCCATTAAGAAAAGGATCAGAAGAGCAAATCGACCAAAATCCGAGCCGGTTTGGCGACGAGCCATTTGGATCTAAGGAATTCTCAACTGATCCAGAAATTGTTCCGCGCAAGTCTTTTCCTTGGCTTATGAAATGAAAAGCCGGGGAGTCTGAATCAACAACATTTGAAGGTAGCATTGCCAAAGCAGAACGAGCTGCAAGTTTCTAACGACACGTTTTTCGTCCATGATCTTCGTCCCTTTCCTTCACCAGAAAGCAAGCGAATCCTTATTACGATTTGTTTTGATAGGCAAGTTCAGGCTTGATCTCCATAATTATTTTAGAAGTCTCATGAGCATAATAACGAAACCAAAACAGTAAAATCAATAAATTCATCTTATGCCTATTCTAAGTTCAATTCAAAATTAGATAAAGGATAGGGGAAATCACAAATAAAGACCCTTGAATTAGCAAAATCACTCTATGGTCACCTGAATATGCTAAATTACTATGAGGGACCTGGTCTCAAATTGTAATTATGAAATCATGGTCAAATTACCAAAATACCCCTCTTTAAATTTTTTTTTTTTTAAAAGAAAGCCACTCCTCACCGGAATCCGGCCACCGGCACCGGAGCTCCGGCGGCCGCTTCCGGCCACTGTCGGCGGCAGGACGCCGGAGTCCGGCCGCCGTAGCTCCGGCGCCGGCGGCCGCTTCCGGCGGTCTTCCTTTGTTTTTTTTTTTAAACTGTTTTTTTTTAAAATTGGGGGGAAGTGAGGTTGGGGGGATTTGATCCCCCAACCTAATGCTTCCCAAAATAAGGAATGACCATTGAGCCAACAAATTTTTGTTAACATTATGATGCAAAAAAAAATATAAGTTAACTCATTTACTCTTGTTCCAGGTGATAACAACAATACATTTGGAAATAACAAGTTCTGATTGTAAAATAACACGTCTGGAATAAAAATTTAACAATATGTTTTTTTTATAACAATAAATTTTGTTGCAGGCAATAACAACAATACATTTAAAAATAACAAGTTCTGATTATAAAATAACAAGTTTGGGATTAAAATTTAATAACACGTTTTTTTTATAACAATACACTTTGTTTCAAGTGATAACAACAATACATTTAAAAATAACAAGTTCTGATTATAAGATAATAAGTCTAGGATTAAAATTTAACAACACGTTTTTTTATAACAATTAATTATTTTATACTTTTAAAAAATAAATTATTTATAACTTATAAAAAATATTTTTAATATATTTATTTCTCTAAAAAAATACTTTTTAATCTGTATATCTATACAACTCATTATAAATCAAACTACTTCTTATAAATTATAAAGTATTTATAATAAGGCATTTTTGATTTATTAATCATAGTATAAATTTTATATTATTTCATTCTTTAAATATTAAAAATATTTTTTATATTTAAAGAATAAAATAGTATTTTTAATTATAAATTAGAGATAAATTTCATTTATAAATTTAAGCAGTCAAAAAGTATTTTAATCCACAATAAATTGTACTATTTATAATTTATAAGAAGTAGTTTGATTTATAATAATTTGTATAGATATATAGATTAAAAATTTTTTAAAAAAAATTAAAAAAGTGTGTTGCCATTTTCCCTAAATTTTATTTATAAATTTGAACAATAAAAAAGTATTTTTAATCTATAAAAAATTATACTTCAAGTTCTGATTATAAATTGGAGATAAAAATTATTTTTTTAGCAAATTAAATAGATTACAAGTACTTTTTATAAGTTATAAATAATTTATTTTCCAAAAGTATAAAATAATTAATTGTTATAAAAAAAGGTGCTGTTGAATTTTAATTCCAGACTTGTTATTTTATAATCAGAACTTGTTATTTCCAAATGTATTGTTGTTATCACTTGAAACAAAGTGTGTTGTTATAAAAAAACATGTTGTTAAATTTTAATCCCAGACTTATTATCTTATAATCAGAACTTGTTATTTTTAAATGTATTGTTGTTATCACTTGAAACAAAGTGTATTGTTATAAAAAAAACGTGTTATTAAATTTTAATCCCAAACTTGTTATTTTATAATCAGAACTTGTTATTTTAAATGTATTGTTGTTATTGCCTGCAACAAATTTATTGTTATAAAAACAACATATTGTTAAATTTTTATTCCAGACGTGTTATTTTACAATCAGAACTTGTTATTTCCAAATGTATTGTTGTTATCACCTGGAACAAGAGTAAATGAGTTAACTTATTTTTTTTTTGCATCATAATGTTAACAAAAATTTGTTGGTTCAATGGTCATTCCTTATTTTGGGAAGCATTAGGTTGGGGGATCAAATCCCCCCAACCTCACTTCCCCCCAATTTTAAAAAAAAAAACAGTTTCAAAAAAAAATAAAGGAAGACCGCCGGAAGCGGCCGCCGGCGCCGGAGCTCCGGCGGCCGGACCCCGGCGTCCGGCGGCCGACAGTGGCCGGAAGCTGCCGCCGGAGCTCCGGCGCCAGTGGCCGGATTCCGGTGAGGCAGTGGCTTTCTTTTTAAAAAAAAATTAAAGAGGGGTATTTTGGTAATTTGGCCATGATTTCATAATTACAATTTGAGACCGGGTCCTTCATAGTAATTTAGCATATTCAGGTGACCATAGAGTGATTTTGCTAATTCGAGGGTCTTTATTTGTGATTTCCCCTAAAGGATAATCCCAATAAAATCCTGCTAAAATATCTAAATTTAAATTTAAATAAAGACTTATACTTTTAATAATTTTTTAATTAAGCTATGAGATCTTATTAAAAATTTCTAAATATTTTTAAATAATTAGAATGTCTCTCATTAATTAAAAAGAAAATTTGATTATTTTATCCTTCCAAGTTGTCCCTCCTCTCTTATGATTATTTTTTGGGACTAAAAAACATATGGTTAATTTTACGGCATTTAGAATTTGTATATATAAACAAAACTTTCAAAAGTATTCTAATAAAACATTTTAAATTACAACGTAAATAGCTTTGAGATAAATTTTTTTTATTTTCTGTTGGTAAATATTTATTTTAAAATTTTATAATTCTTAATTATAATAACTTCGTAATAAATATTTCTTGTAATTAAGATTTTTAAAATTTTAAAATAAATATTTACCAACAGAAAATAAAAAAAATTTATCTCAAGGCTATTTATGTTGTAATTTAAAATGTTTTTGAAACTTTTAGTGATACATACAAATTTTAAACACCGTAAAATTACTTGTGTTTTTTACTTTTACAAAGTAATCATAAGAGATGAGAGATTACTTGGAAGGGTAAAATAATTAATTTTTATTTTTAATTAAAGAGAGGTATTTTAGTTATTTGACAATATTCAAAAATTCTAAATTAGACCTCATGGCCTCATTAGAAATTTGTTAAAAGTATAAGTCTTAATTTGGATTTAAGTATTTTAATCATATTTTATTGGGATTCTCCCAGTCTCTCTTGGTCCCTTGGATGAACCTCCTCACCATAAAATAAAAAGGAAATTACAGTCAAATCCCACGGAAGAAAGATAATTACCAAAAGGTCTTAATAACAACCTCAATAGCCTATAATGACAAGTTCTATAGTAAGAATGACAACCTCTGAAACTTGTTTTTCAATTGTTTTCTTTACTTGGGATCTCATTGTAATTCTCCCTAAAATAAATAAATAAATAAAGGAAAAAAATTTAGGTCAAACTTTTTTGAACTACATCAAATTCTCAAATCAGGCTTTGCCATGTTCACTTAATATCATCAATTAATGTTAAACCCACATGAAAAACAAAGACTCATAGCCAAGTGTGATTGAAGAACTTGATATAATGTTTATAAGAAACTTAATTTAAGTATTATTCATAAATAAATACATTATGTTATATTTCTCTAGTTCTTAATGTAAAGCCAATTTAACTAATTTGATTAGATTAAAAAAATTAGGTACATTAGTCAATTATAAAAATTATGATATATTTTTTTTAAAATACCATAATTATTTTTCTTAATATCTTCCATTCTTCTCATGCATTATGGACTGAAGGATTATGACAAATGTGTATATATACAGAGGGTCAAAGTTCCCCGGGGAAGCATAGCGTTAGAATTCCACGTTTCATTTTATATGATACTTCCTTTGGTATAAGAACTTACTAACTAATTCACACAAATAAATGAAAACGGTTGAAAACATTAAATTTGGTACAGGGATTCTCCTATTGGACATAATCATATTTAAGGTATTGTTATGCACTAAATATGGGCACATCCTTCTGTGAGAATTTGAACCTTAGTTTACTACGTTGTGAAAGATTAGTGTCTTCTATTAGACTCAACTCTTATTGATCTAGTCTTACAAACTTGCCTATTTATAAAAGCCAATTCAAATACTAATAAAAGCCCAATTGAAAATAAGTCATTTTATTTTAATTCCCAATCGAAACGGGCCCTGGGTTATAAAATCTCAACTCACATCAAGTTTTTATTATAGAGAAAAGTAATTAGCAGTCTCCAATCATACAACTATTTTTTGGAATCCAAGAATACTCCATTTGGTACACCAACTAGTCAGTTGTAAGTCGTTATTTCTGCATTATGTTAAAATGTGGCAGAAAACTTCATGATTCAAAGCCCTAATTGAGTTGGTTTGTGATCCCAATTAAACTAACACCCACCTATACATTAGGTTGGTGCACCACAAAAAAAAAAAAAAGGAAATGTGTAATGTTAATCAAACTTTCATTATTACTGTTTAAAGAGGATTGTACATAATCATTCAAAAGCCATTATTTAAACTGTGAAGCCTCCATCTGCGTATACAATCTGTCCAGTGATGTATGAAGCAGCAGGAAGGCAAAGAAAAGCAACTAGTGCTGAAATCTCTTTAGGCTCCCCCATGCGACTCATGGGAAGTTGAGACAATATGCTGTTTAATATTTTTGCATCATTTTCTTTCTGTACAAAAAATCAGAGATTATGTCTTTCTATAAAGGAAAAGAAAAGAACTAAAACAGAACAAAAGATACTTATGATTATGGTGAGTAGCTAGACATAGCAGTGGACAAGAAGCATTTATATGGACAAGTAAGATGAACACATTGATTATGAGAAACATGTGCATTGATGTGAACACATTGACAAATAAAACAATTAGGTTATGAGATGTTCCTTGATAATTTGTGTTTCTTATACAATTAATCTACAACACTTGAGAAAGACAATATTTTTTAGAATTAGTTGTTCATCATGCACTTTTGTTAGCTAAAGGGTGGCTCCCTTGATACATAGAAGTAAATTAGTACTACATTTAGTTTTTAATATAAGAGCTGGATAGTAAAATTAATATTACATCTAGTTTTTAATATAAGAGTTGGATAATTAATTTGGAAAAATTAGAAAAATTAGTTAAGTTGATTATTTGTGACAAATGCATGTATACTTTCCCAAACCACCATATTTAATTATTTGTATTAAAACTATCCTTGGTAAAAATCTAATTCAATATGAATATTTTGGAAAAAAAGTATAAATTTAAAAGACAAAATGAATTGAGGTTTTATATTTAAGGTCAAATTTAATCCTCAAGCTAACTCATAATTAAGGACCGGAGGTAACAATATATTATGAACCTCCCATGCTAATTTCTCATTAGATATTATTTTACCATGGCTTTCCTAACTATAACCTAATTAAAAAATGTAAGCGATCTTTTTGGTATCGTTGAGTTTAGGTTCTGAAGAGGAGACCGTTAACTAAACCAAAAAGAAATAAAATATGAATTTTTCATGAGACAATGCTAAACCATCGATGTCTTCTTCTTCTTTTTTTTTGCCCACTCTAAACCATCAATGTCAATACATTAAAAAAAAAATCATTACTCTTTCCGACGTGAAACCAATGGCGCCAAATCTCTTGGGGACTTTCAGAGAAGAGAACTTATGTCTACTTTCCTTTCTAGCTGATATCAATTCAGCCTCCCCATGAATTGTATGTATCATGACATTTTATATATATAGACTAGCGCCTTACATTGAGTAAGTGAGGAATAACTAACAACTAGAAATGGGAATCAGGGCCAGCTCAGCCCTTCAGGATTGGCCTTTCAGGGCTGGCGAGCTTAAAGGACCAGCTCTCCAGTGCTGAAATTTCAAAAATACCTCAATTTACTAGGCTCGACCTTTAACCTAACGGGCTCAGGGCCGACCCGCCGTTCAAAAAAAATGCTATTTTTTATCAAAAAATAAAAATAAACCAATAAAATTGTTAATAAAAGACATAAATATGAATAAAATTAAGTCACAAATAAAAAATATTATCATATATAAATATTCATCAATATCCAAGAACATCTAAAACATTCATTAACAAGATAACAACATCCAAAAGTTTTATCTATAGTGCAATTGTGTAATAAATAAACACTATTATTAATCTTTTGAAACTTCATCATTACTATAATCAATTACTCTTCTTCATTAAGTATGCTTTTCTTTCGTAGCAAAAATATCAATTTTTTCTTCTTTATAGGAATTTTACTTTTAAATTTTGCAATCTAGCTATTATTTTATTTTAATGTGAGAAATATTATTGTTGAAACTCATGAATTTCTAATTCAAATTATAGAATCACAAGTTATATAAGTATAAAAATACTCTATTATCAAATATATATATATATAGTTTAAAAATATCAACACATATAATATAAATCAAATCATTATTAAAGTCCAAATTAACCTATTTTTTAAAAATTTAATTGAATAAATTATTGTCTAAAACTAAATAAATCAAATCATTCTGTAAAATTTAATTTTAAAATAATAATAATAACTGAATATTTGAAATATTATTAACAATGTAAAAAATTAAAAATATTAGAATTACATAAAAAAATTTAAAAAACAAAAAAAATTATAAAATGGCCTAAACGGGCTGGTTCTTTCAAGCCCTCGACCGTCCAGGACTTATTTCCCATTTAGGGGAAAATTTTCAAACCCGGCCCTTATCATTTAAGAGCCTAAACGGGCTGGCCCGACGGACTCGCCTATTTTTCCAGCTCTACTAACAACTAACTTTGCTCACTAACCAATATTCTAACAAAGACATATTTTAGAGCGTTCAATCTGTGAGTGGCAAATATCAATGGATTGTCATCTCTTCTGGTATTAAAGACTAATTTAGCCTATGATCAGATGTTTCATAGTGATTATTGAGCAAACCAAGGGAGCAATTCAAAGAAGAGTTTAAGGCAGGGAAATAAACAAATTATGTATTTTCAATATCTTAATTGGGAATAAAAGGGAGTTAGAGAAAAAAAAAAAAGAATATTTGAGGCAGTCAAAGAATGTTTAGATAGCTAGCTAGGCTCATTAGGCTGTAAATCAGATTAGGCTACTTAGTCAATACAGAGAATTGTTGTGTTGACAAGTACAAGGCAAAGATATAGAAATTCAACTATGCAAAAAATTTTGGTCTTAAAAGAAGCAAAGTAAAATTTGCGATAGCTTATCAAAAAAAGTAATTTGCGATCAAATATAATTGGTCATGATTAATTGATTATGAGTATGATGAGATGCACTTGTAGATGTTGAATAGGGATTTTCACATAAACCTATGGTAACTTACCGTGACAGTTTCCAAAAGTGGGGTCATTATGGTTCCAGGTGCGACTGCATTTACACGAATATTATCCTTTGCCCATTCAAATGCCAGATTCCTTGTGATTTGATTAATAGCCCCTGTATCATATAGATATTTCATCAAGTACATTATTGCCCTTGACTCAATCAGGTGCTGAACTTATCATGCGCCATATTATAATCAAGGTTTATGGCTCATTAAAACAATAATTTGAAGCAAGGGTTAAAATCTTTAGGTCTCGTTTGGTACGAAGTATTGAAAATGAGAGATAGAAACTGGAATTGTAATTAAGAAAAATGACTAAAAAAGTGTGTAGCATGAAAAATTACTTGTTACATGGGATTGGACAAATCCATGGGGGCGGGATTAGGGAATTCCATCTCCTCTCATGATACTCTACAATCCCACATTTATGGGTTTATCCAATCCCATATAATAAGTAATCTCTCATGCTAAACACTTTTTTAATATATTTTCTTAATCCCAATCCCAATCCATATCTTTTATTTCCAATGCTTTATATCAAACGGCATGTTAGCCTTCAAAATTTGATCCCATTTAAGTTTTGATCTCAAAAATCCTTAGACTAAAAAAAAAATGAAGTCAAATTTCAGTCAAATCAAAACAAGATTAAATTTCAGGGACTAAGATGGTGTTAACCCTTAAAGGAAAAATATGGTTTATGAGTTCAATAGGCTTTTTTATCCAAAATGTCAGTCTTTTGAGCTGGACTTTTCTTTTAAACTTGTGTTCTTATAATGGACTAACTATGTGTGGAGTCCATAGTTTGGTGTACCTTTGCTTGCTGCATAAACCACATGTTGAGGGAAAGCTTTGTAGCCTGCAATTGAGGAGATATTTACTATGGTACCATATCCTGAGGCTTTTAGAAGTGGGTGTGCTAGTTGGCTCAAATGGTAAGCAGACTCGAAATTAGTATCCATGATTGTTGACAAAACTTCAGCAGGACAATCTGTTGCATCCGTAAGTATATTTGTCCCAGCATTGTTTATCTAAATTAAAAGGGAAGAAAAGAAAACAAGGTATGAAACCTAAAGGGAAAATGGAGAGCAAAGGGAAAAGAAAGAACACAAAAGAAAAGGGAAAATTTCACAGCACCTTCACTTTAGCAACTTAACTTCCATTTGCCCCAAAAAACTCTGAAAATTCATTGGACCTTTAAGGGCCAAAATAAAATAAAATATTGTGGGTGAAAAGAAATTGATGCTCTTGCTATTAAAAAAAGTCAACCATCATCAACCGTATGAGCTCCAGCCATTGATGGCCCCGCAAGCATCGACACTGGTAGTGTCCGGAGCTCCGACGGCCGGCGATGACTAGATTTTTTTAACTTAAAACAAACAGCAAGGACATCAATGTCTTTTTACCTGCAAAATTTAATTTTATTTTGGTCCTTAAAGCAAATGGAAATTATCTGCCTATAGAGAAATGTATGAAAGATTACAGTCATGCCATCATAAACCGTTTATACAGTGAGTGCGTGTGGAAAACAATGAATGAAAAGTAGACATGTAGAGGGAAACTTACCAGGATGTTGAGTTTGCCATGAAAGACAGAAGCAACAGTTTGCATTAGATTTTCACGTTGATCGCGAAATTGAACATCACAAACTGACCCACTTACACTAAATCCTCTGTTTTCCCACTCTTTAACACATTTATCAATATCTTCTTGGTTACGTGAACATATATGAACGATTGCTCCAAATTCTGCTAATTCCTCTGCTATGGCATACCTAATTAATTATATTAAAGATCGACAAAGATGAATCAGTATCAGTAAAGAACACTGACATGAGATAATTAAAAAAAAAAAAACCCGTTAGAATATAAAATTTTACAAAATATCCAGAGATTTCAAACAGTTTAAGGTGTTCATCTAGTCTTATCATTTCATGCCAGGATTGCTTCACTCTCCTGAACAGTTTTATACAAGACACAAGTGAGACCTCTTGAACTCATCAATTTAAACCAAAAAAGGGAAAAAGAAGAAGGAAGAAAGCAGATAAGAGTTATAAAATGAAAAGAAGAGAAACAATAATCACAAACCCTATGCCTTTGGTTCCTCCAGTAACAAGAGCGGTCATTCCAGTAAGTGACCATCTTCTGTCTTTGAAGATAAGCTTCGCCTCATTTTCATTCATTTCTGCTGCTGTGATGATTCCATGCTTTATCCTCCTAATGTAATAACTATATATAACAACGAATTTGGATCCACATGCTTCTGTAGTTTTCTCAATCATATAATGAGGTGTCACGTGAGAGAGTCAGGGTTAGCAGGGAGCAGAACCACTTGCTCTGTTAGGATATATTAATATATACACAAGACTAAGAAATTACTACCTCTAATTCTAATTATAAAAACTAATTAATTAATTTAAAAAAATTAAAAAAATAAGTTAAGTTAGTTATTTATAATAAATATATGTTATTTTTTTTAAAATATGTTTACTAATAAGTATACTGGTTAGAACTACTATTATTAAAAAGACTATCTTAAAAAAAATACACAAGTATAAAAAACAAAATAAATTGAGGTCTTATATTTATAATCAAAATAAAAATTAAACAAAATTTTATATTAAGGACTAAAAATAATATATCCGGTACATAATTAACTATATTTTGCAGTAGTTTGTGGGTATATATATATTTTTAAACCTTTTTTAATCTTTTTTTTTATCATTTTCTTTTTGACCTTTTTATTTCTTTCACTCTTCAAAAAATTGATGGGTTTGATTATACGGAAAATGATGCAGTTGGAGCAAAAAAATCTAAATTTAGTTTCATAGATTAAATTAAAATACCACTTCTATATTTTACCCAAAAAAAAAAAGTAAATGTGATTTCAATTTTGATCTTTTTTTTTCCCCACGTCTTCTTCCCGCTTCTCGCTTTTTGAATGTCGCTCTCTTTCTTTATTTCTTTTTGTTTTTTAATCTCCTTTCGCCAACTGGCTATCACTTTTAAGCATTGTTATTCGCGCAGGAGACAAGAAAAGCATCACATATAAATGCGCCCACTGTTACGATAAAGATAGGGCTGGCAACTGTACAGTTGTTAGTTGTATATTCACCAGGCTCTACTGCTCCTCTCTTGTTTGTTAGACGTTTTTAACATGCATTAATTATTTCTAAAAATATATCACAACCTCCATTCTAATTAAAAATAAGATCTTATAAATAAAATCATAAGTAATATCATGTTTCTATTTATAAATCATTTGTGTCCAAACTCGCAGGTCAATAAATATGTCGAGTCAATAATTTTTTCTGCATACTATATCCTTATTAAAAAATGGTATTAAAATTATGTTTTATATTTCTTCTCACTTATTTATTTTATCTCTCTGCATTTATTAAATTAATATGAGTAAAATTGGAAAAAATTCATTAATTATCTTACAAATAACTTATACTTAAGAATATATCTTTTCTCCACAAGTAACATAAATAAAAATAAAAACAGAATAGTAATAACTTTCTTAATAGTAATAACTTTCTACCTTTATTCTTATTTAATATATACATTTTTTAAAAAATAACCGCCTACAATATAATAAACGAAAGATAAAATTCATTTATTCAAACGATATAAATATTAATGAAGATTTCATATCATATGTAATCTTTGAATCCAAATCCACTATTCTATCCTTCTTATTTTCATTGACTAGACTTGTGAGTTAAGTTCTTTTCATTTGAGAGGCTATTCTCACAAGCTCATCACATGAGTGATGTGAATCGATCAAAAACCATAGAACACTCGATGGACCATGAATCCCCACTCGAAGAATTAGTGAGGTGTCAAAGTCCTTTGAAAAACTAGTAGGATAATAATAGTGGTCAACTATAAAATTTCATATGGAGGCTAGTACCACGTGGTAAGTAAATAGATCTTAATAACTCCAATAATCTCTTTCACATCCCATCTCAAAGGCACATGATTCAAAACCTTCAAGTGGATATATGTTACATCCCACTAATTTTAATTTTGGAAATGCGAGTAATAAATTAGATAGAGGGTCAAGTATTGATGTGGACTCAGGGCGGGAAAAACTTTTGGATTGAGATTTGACCCCTAACTAGAATGCCATTTTTGAAATTATTAGTTTAGGAAAAATAAAATAGGAAAGTCAGTTAAAAATTTCAGAAAATTATAGAAAAATAAAATAGAGTGTCTAGAACTATGCTTGAAACCCCAAGGTGAAGACAGCGTGAAAATGATTTATTACAAAAAATTTTATAAGTTAAAGTTTTCCGGTTAAACAGTGAAAAATTGGTAAGAATTAATTATTTAAAATATATAAAAGCCTCAATAATTGTGAAAAAAATATGAGAAAATTATTTGAAGGTTTATTAGCCTTTGAAAGTGAAAGAATTAATTTTAGAATAATTATTACTGAAATCTTAATAGTAAAACCCGATTTCGAAAAAAATTCAACACAGCCACACAGGTAGTTTGAGAGTGAAATAAATTCTAGAAAAATTCATGGGACTTTCCTACATTAAAAGAAACTTTTTGATGTGAAGGAATAAATTTTTGGCAGTCCAGAACTATTATTGAAAATTAAATAGAAATTTTAACTGACACGGCAAAATTGTACGAGAAAATGTCATGGGATCTGAGAGGCTACATCCCTTTTCCTTTCTTCAGCCATTTCAAGCGTGAAATTGGGCTAGAGAAGCCTGAAAATTTCATGACTTATCCAGCCCAAAAGATTAAAGAATAAAATAATCAATTTAATTACATGATTAGCTAAAAATCTTGAGTATTAAAGACACATGGCACACTTAAAATTTCTACAACATTTGGGGGAGAACACATGCACATTAGGCATTAGATTTTTAAGGGACACTTAGAGGGAGGAGAGGCCAAATTGTTGCTCTATAAATAACCCCCCAAGCCTTTATATTTCGATTACTTTGGCCGTTGAAGAGGGGAGTTTTTGCTACTAGAAAACTGGAGTAAAGAGTGAAAGAACATGTTGAAAAGAGCAAAGAATTATCAAACAAGGATCAAGGGTCAATCAAGGTATGTAAAAGCTTCCATTTGGCTATGGTTTTAGTGTGTTTCAAGTGGAGTTTGGTGGCAAAAACCTTAGAAAATTTGGCTGTCCAGATTTTGAAATCATTGAAGAATGATTATGAAAGGATAGAGACCATGATTAAAGGCTTGAGCTAGCTTGTTTGGTTGTTGTTTTGATTGCTTTTAGAAAAAACTCCAAATTTCCTAACTCTTGTAACCTCTTGGCCAAAGCTAAGTTCGGGGGATTGGAGGTTGTTTTAGATTAATCTGATGATTCTAATGAGTTTAGAATGTGATTTTGTGTCAAAAAACACTAAGAGGAAGTATTTGAGAGCATTAGAATTAAAAATGAAAATTTGAACCATAATATGTATGCCTCTCAACCAAGAGCAGTTTAAATAGAGAGGAGTTTGATTTTGATAAAACTAAGTTGATATTTGAATTCTACATAAAAATTTGTGTAGGAATGGCCATAAAAACTTGTCAAAACAAAGGTGGAATATTGATGTCAAAAATCAAAGAAAAAAAGGGGCTATGAAATTGTCTTGATGGTTAATGGTGCTTTACGTGACATTAATGGTAATGTGGAATATGTTGGTACATGAATTGATAGGCATTGTTCAAACATACAAAGGGAAGCAAGAAGAAGGGAAGAAGGCCGAAAACTTTGATCATTGAAGAGGTAGCAATAGACTTGCAATTTGAATGCTAACTTGCTTTGCTTATTTTGCTATGCACAATTTGATTTTTTTTATGTCATGATGTGGTAGAGCCAGATGAATGATGATATGTTAACTCTATGCATAATGTGCCTAGGCTATATGCAATGTTGAGTGGTATGATCGTATGTTTATTTGCTCCCTTCCTATAGCATAAAAACGTGTTAGTATGCATGATAATTTATTGGTGACATAATATAACATCCTGCAAATTTTAACCCTGAAGATAAGGGAAATAAAAGAGACCAAGGGCTAGTTAGTATAGAAGGGACATAGATCTCATAAGTTTTGAATTAAAACCTGGGCAGTATTCGTACTGATATTTTTGAAATGTTAGATAAAGAAAGAACTGAGTGGGAAACTATGTTAGAAATTCCCAAAATTTCTCAGAAAATCATGTAAAATAGAATTGAGAATCAAGGAACAATGTTTGAGACCCCAGAGGGATTATTGAAAGGAAAATCAATTAATATAGAATTTTCTATATTTTCAGGGATTTTTGGTTGCACTAAGTAAGGGTAAACAAAGCTAATTATTTAAAATATCTAGAGGGCTCAATAATTTTGGAAAATGTGGGAATATTTCTCAAGGATTATCATAATTTATAAAATTACTTCTAACCTTACAAGATAGGAGATTAGCTTTAATAATATTTAAAACAAAATTATTGTTGGTAGAATACCAATTTCGCTGGTAATGAAATTTAGAGGAGATTATAGAGTAAATTAATTATGAGAAAAATCATAAAAATTTCCTACACTGAGAAAAGGGAAATGGTGCATTACAGTGAATGAGACAAGATATATGGAAAAATTATCTGGCACTGCATCGGTATTTAGTGCAATATTAGGATACATGGGGAAGTGTACCTTTTGCAAATTCTTCCATCCAGCCCAAAAAGCCCAATATCACACCTAAAATGGCCCATTTAGTGGGAAATATTTAAATAAAAAATGAAAGAAAACAAAATTCTAGGAGGTAATTAAGAGGAATTAATCATGGTGATTAAGGAAGTTAACCAGATTAGGCTAATTAATCTTGGCATGACATAAGCATGCGGCATCATCACCATGACATCATATGGACAAGTGGCAGAACCATGTT